TATCCATTTCCTCCAGGTTTACTAGTTTATGTGCATAGAGTTGTTTGTAATATTCTCTGATGATGGTTTGAATTTCTGTGGAATCTGTGGTGATTTCCCCTTTATCATTTTTTATTGCATCTATTTGGTTGTTCTCTCTTTTATTTTTAATCAATCTGGCTAGTGGTCTATTTTGTTGATATCTTCAAAAAACCAGCTCTTGGATTTATTGATTTTATGAAGGGGTTTTCGTGTCTCTATCTCCTTCAGTTCAGCTCTGATCTTAGTTATTTCTTGTCTTCTGCTGGGTTTTGAGTTTTTTTGATCTTGCTCCTTTAGCTCTTTCAATTTTGACGATAGGGTGTCTATTTTGGATCTCTCCATTCTTCTCATATGGGCACTTATTGCTATATATTTTCCTCTAGAGACTGCTTTAAATGTGTCCCAGAGATTCTGGCATGTTGTGTCTTCGTTCCCATTGGTTTCGAAGAACTTCTTTATTTCTTCCTTTATTTCATTGTTTATCCAGTCAACATTCAAGACCAGTTGTTCAGTTTCCATGAAGCTGTGCGGTTCTGGGTTGGTTTCTGAATTCTGAGTTCTAACTTGATTGCACTATGGTCTGAGAGACTGTTTGTTATGATTTCAGTTATTTTGCATTTGCTGAGGAGTGCTTTACTTCCAATTATGTGGTCAATTTTAGAGTACGTGTGATGTGGTGCTGAGAAGAATGTATATTTTGTGGATTTGGGGTGGAGAGTTCTGTTAATGTCTATCAGGTTTGCTTGCTCCACGTCTGAGTTCAAGCGTTAAATATCCTTGTTGATTTTCTGTGTGGTTGATCTGTCTAATATTGACAGTGGAGTGTTAAAGTTTCTCACTATGATTATGTGGGAGTCTAAGTCCCTGTAAGTCATTAAGAACTTGCCTTATGTATCTGGGTGCTCCTGTATTGGGTCCATATATGTTTAGGATTGTTAGCTCTTGTTGTATCGATCCTTTACCATTATGTAATGGCCTTCTTTTTCTCTTTTGATCTTTGTTGCTTTAAAGTCTATTTTATCAGAGATGAGAATTGCAACTCCTGCTTTTTTTTGCTCTCCATTTGCTTGGTAAATCTTCCTCCTTTTCTTTATTTTAGCCTTTGTGCATCCTTGCATGTGAGATGGGTTTCCTGGATACAGCACACTGATGGGTTTTGGATTTTTATCCAATTTGCCAGTCTGTGTCTTTTGATTGGTGCATTTAGTCCATTTACATTTAGGGTTAATATTGTTATGTGTGAATTTGATTCTGCCATTTTGATGCTAGGTGGCTGATCTTCTTGTTAGTTGTTGTAGATTCTTCATTATGTTGATGCTCTTTAGTATTTAGTGTGATTTTGGAATGGCTGGTACTGGTTGTTCCTTTCTATGTGTAATGCCTCTTTCAGGAGCTCTTGTAAAGCAGGGCTGGTGGTGACAAAATCTCTGAGTACTTGCTTGTTCGCAAAGGATTTTATTTTTCCTTCACTTCTGAAGCTCAGTTTGGCTGGATATGAAATTTTGGGTTGAAAGTTCTTTTCTTTAAGGATGTTGAATATTGGCCCCCACTCTCTTCTCGCTTGTAGGGTTTGTGCCGAGAGATCTGCTGTGCGTCTGATGGGCTTCCCTTTGTGGGTGACCCGACCTTCTCTCTGGTTGCCCTTAGTATTCTGTCTTTTATTTCAACCTTGTTGAATCTGACGATTATGTGCCTTGGGGTTGCTCTTCTTGCAGAATATCTTTGTGGTGTTCTCTGTATTTGTTGCATTTGAGTGTTGTCCTGTCTTTCTAGGTGGGGGAAATTTTCCTGGATAATGTCCTGAAGAGTATTTTCCAGCTTGGATACATTCTGTTCGTCACATTCTAGTACACCTATCAAACGTAGGTTAGGTCTTTTCACATAGTCCCACATTATTTGGAGACTTTGTTCATTCCTTTTTTTGCGCTTTTTTCTCTGATCTTGGTTTCTCGTTTTATTTCATTGAGTTGATCTTCGACTTCTGATATTCTTTCTTCTGCTTCATCAATTTCGCTGTTGAAATTTGTGCTTGCTTCGCGAAGTTCTCTTATGTGTTTTTCAGCTTCTTTATTTCATTCATATTCGTCTCTAAGTTATGCATTCTTGTTATCATTTCCTCGAATGTTTTTTCAAATCTTTTCTCAAGGTGCTTAATTTCTTTGCATTGATTTGAAACATGTTTTTTTAGCTCACAAAAGTTTTTCATCATCCACCTTCTGAAGTCTAATTCCTTCATTTCATCACAGTCATTCTTCGCCCAGCTTTGTTCCCTTGCTGGTGAGGAGTTTTGGTCCTTTCTAGGAGGCGAGGTGTTCTGGTTTCGGGTGTTTTCCTCCTTTTTGCACTGGTTTCTTCTCATCTTTGTGGATTTATCCACCTGTCGTCTGTGTAGTTGCTGACTTTTTGATTGGATCTCTGAGTGGATGCCCAGATTGTTGATGATGAAGTATTTCTGTCACTTGGTTTTCCTTCTACCAGTCTAGCTTCTTCACTGTACGACTGCTGCAGTCCACTCCAGGCCCTGCTTGTCTGGGGTGCACCTATAACTGCTGCGGAACAATGAGGGATGCTCCCAGTTTTTTTTTTTTTTGCTATCTTTTTCCCAGAATGATTCCTGCCAAATGTCAGTCTTTTGGATATAGAGGGGTCAGGGAGCTGCTTGAGAAGACAGTCTGTATTTTATAGGAGCTCAAGTGCTGAGCTGTGAGCTCTGTTGTTCATTCAGGGCTGTTAGACTGCTACGTTTAATTCTGCTGTAGCAGAACTCATTAAAAAACCCTTTTTTTCTCAGATGATCTGTCTCATGGGGTCTGGGGCTTTGTGAGTGTTTGTTGTGCTATCCTGCTCACCTAGGAAGCTGTCTAGTCACTATTTGCCTGCCGTACCCCTGCCCTGCTGGTGTGAGGTTCTCCCTGTTTCTGCAGGGTCTGCCCTGCTGCTCTGGTCTCTGCCCTGCTGCCACGGGCTACGCCCTCCTGTGGAGTCTCTTTGTTATAGTGGGTTGCTTCAGCAATGGCAGGCTGCGTCAGCAACGGGCATGTACCTCATTAAGGCTGGATTGCCTCGGTAATGGTGGACGCCCTCCCCCCATGGAGCTGCACCGTCCTGGGTTCAGCTGTGCTCTCAGGGAACCTGGAGCATTTGGAATCGTCGTTTTGTTTGTCCCACCACACTACCCCAAATGCTGTTTCCCTTAAATTTCCTGGCCTGGCTCAATGTCCAAGTCCCATTCAGTCTCAAGTTCATCCCTCTGAAGTCTCAGATTGCCGGTTCAACAGGGCACCTGGACCAGTGCACTTTGTGTGAAGCGCTGTGGAGCGCTGCTGCACTACAGCGCCGCTGGTTGTTCCGGCTGCCGGCTGCGCCAGGCAAAGCCTGTGCCTGGCGTTTCGCGTCTCTTTTATACCTGGGAATTTCCCTGTTCTGTGGGCAACAAAGATCCGTCTGGAAATGCGGCCCTGACTCACCCTCTCCGTGTGTTCACTGAGAGCTTCAATCCTGGGTCGTTCTCACCGCGCCATCTTCCTTTCTCTCCTCCAATGTTATGTTTTTTATTATTTTATTAGAGTTTTACATCTTTGTTTCTTCTTTACTCTCTTTCTTGTTTTGTGTCTATTGATATGATTTTACTTATTTCTAATTTTCTTTATTGTGTTTGTACAAATTTCTCTTAATGGTATTTTGGGGGTTACATAAAACCTATATGAAAACAACAAGCATATTTTAAATTTGTTAGAAAGTAAATTTCAGTTGAATAAAAAAAATTTTTTTTTTTACATCTTCCTTGACATTTGTCATTGAGGTTGGTAATTATGTTTTTACCAACATTATTGTATATTTTTTAACAGATGTTTCTGATTTTTCTGTTTGTATGTTTAAAATATTAGAGAATAATTTGAAAGGTTTTCTGCATCATTATGTAATGCCACAAGATTCTGTTTCTGTGTATGTGCATATCTTTCACAAAATATAATGTTTATATATTTGATTATGTGTTGTTTTCTCGACTTGCCTTACTTTAAGAAACTTTTAGCATCTTTTATGTGTCAGAAATTTGGAATATGCAGTTTTTGTATACTTCTACAGAATTCAGTTGTTTCAGAAGGTTGTTTTTTGAGACAGTTTTTCTTTCTCACCAGACTGGAGTGCTGTGGCATGGTCTTTGGTCACTGCAGCCTGTACCTCCCAGGTTCAAGTGATTCTCCTGTCTCAGCCTCCCACATAGCTGCCATTACAGGCATGTATCTGCATGCTCAACTAATTTTGTATATTTAGTGGAGACTTGGTTTTACTATGCCACCCAGACTGGTCTCAAGCATCTGGCCTTAGGTGATCCACTTACCTCAGCTTCCCAAAGTGCTAGGATTACAGGTGTGAACCACCACACTCAGCCATTGATGTTTCTTCTTAATAACCAATAATCACTTTTTACAATTGTTTTGTCTGTGGTACCACAGTCTTTATGTGGCTTCAGAATTTATCTTCTGTCTCAGCAGACTCAAATTGTCATCTTAAAGAATACCACTATTTCAGAACCTGATTTAATGAGAGACAGCAACCAGGGTCTGTAAAATACTGTATCATTCAGAAATATAAATGTGTAAGGCAGCATTTTACTTGTCATTCAGCAAAGAAACCAGCAGTTGGCAATTTATTTCAAGTCACTATGTCATATTGGGAAGCAGAAAGATCTGTGTTGGGTAAATGTAAGAGACTTTTGTTCTATGTGCCTCTTTGCATTAAACTCACTGGGGGCATTGCACACAATTTAATTTTATACTAATATAATTTGGTCTGTATCTTTTTATTACCTTTAAATGTGTTTGAAAAAAAAATGTAGCCTGTAAAATTTTGCTATGCTATTTCGTCATGTAGTTTCTATAATTTTATAGGTAAGACTTGTATATATTCTTAGTTGAGTAAGCAGAGTAATTTGTTTGAGTAATTTGGTTTTTATTTTTGTTTTTTATTTCTTTCAGTTGCATCTTCTTATTTTGCCCAAGATCTTTGGCCAAAGCAGGGCATAAAAAATTATTTCCAAAAAGTGATATTGAGAAGATATAAAAAATGTGGACATAAAAATTTTCAGTTAGGAGAATGTTGTCAAAGCACGGATGAGTGTAAGGTACACAAAAAATGTTACAATGGACTTAACCAGGTTTTGGCAACTACCCAGAGTAAAATATTTCAATGCAACAAATTTGTCAAAGTCTTTTATAAATATTCAAATTCAAACAGATATAATATAAGACAAAGTGGAAAGGAACCTTTGAAATGTAAGGAATATAAAATGTTATTTTGCACACTTTCAGACTTAGCTGAACATAAAAGAATTTATACCAGAGAACGACCCTACAAATTTAATGAATGTGGCAAAGCCTATAATGATGCCTCAAACCTTTCTACATATAAAAAAATTTGTACTGGAAAGAAACCCGACAAATATGAAGAATGTGGACAAACCTTTAACCAGTTCTTACACCTTACTACACATATGAGAATTCGTACTGGAGAGAAATCTTACAAATATGAAGAATGTGGCAAATCTTTTCGGTCATTCTCAAACCTTATTACACATAAGAGAATCCATATTGGAGACAAACCCTACAAATTTGAGGAATGTGGCAAAGCTTTTGTCCACTCCTCAAGCCTTACTTATCATAAGGGAAATCATACTGGAGAGAAATGCTACAAATGTGAGGAGTGTGGCAAAACTTTTAGCTGGCACTCGAGCCATTCTAGACATGAGATAATTTGTTCTGGAGAGAAACGCTACAAATGTGAAGAATGTAGTAAATCTTTTAGGTGGCACTCCAGCTTTAATACACATAAGAAGATTCATACTGGCGAGAAATCCTACAAATGTGAGGAATGTGGCAGAGCTTTTAGCCAATCCTCAATGCTCACTAGACATAAGAGAATTCATACTGGAGAGAAACCCTACCAATGTGAGGAATGTGGCAAAGCTTTTAACCAATCCTCAATGCTCACTAGACATAAGAGAATTCATACTGGAGAGAAACCCTACAAATGTGAGGAATGTGGCACAACTTTTATTTACTCTTCAGCCCTTGCTAGACATAAAAGAATTCATGCTGGAGAGAAAGACTACAAATGTGAAGAATGTGGCAAATCCTTTAGGTGGCACTCCAGCTTTAATACACATAAGAAGATTCATACAGGAGACAAACCCTACAAATGTGAAGAATGTGGCAAATCTTTTAGGTCGTTCTCAAACCTTATGTCACATAAGAGAATCCATACTGGAGACAAACCCTACAAATGTGAGGAATGTGGCAAATCTTTTAGGTGGTTCTCAAAGCTTATTACACATAAGAGAATCCATATTGGAGACAAACCCTACAAATGTGAGGAATGTGGCAAAGCTTTTAACCACTCTTCAGGCCATGCTAGACATAAAGGAATTCATGCTGGAGAGAAAGACTACAAATGTGAAGAATGTGGCAAATCTTTTAGGTCGTTCTCAAACCTTATGTCACATAAGAGAATCCATACTGGAGACAAACCCTACAAATGTGAGAAATGTGGCAAGTCTTTTAGGCGGTCCTCAAGCCTTATTATACATAAGACAATCCATACTGGAGACAAACCCTACAAATGTGAAGAATGTGGAAAATCTTTTAGGTCGTTCTCAAACCTTATTACACATAAGAGAATCCATACTGGAGACAAACCCTACAAATGTGAGGAATGTGGCAAAGCTTTTAACTTCTCTTCAAGCCTTGCTAGACATAAAGGAATTCATGCTGGAGAGAAAGATTACAAATGTGAAGAATGTGGCAAATCTTTTAGGTGCTTCTCATACCTTATTACACATAAGAGAATCCATACTGGAGACAAACCCTACAAATGTGAGAAATGTGGCAAATCTTTTAGGCGATCCTCACACCTTATTATACATAAGAGAATCCATACTGGAGACAAACCCTACAAATGTGAAGAATGTGGAAAATCTTTTAGGTCGTTCTCAAACCTTATTACACATAAGAGAATCCATACTGGAGACAAACCCTACAAATGTGAGGAATGTGGCAAAGCTTTTAACTTCTCTTCAGGCCTTGCTAGACATAAAGGAATTCATGCTGGAGAGAAAGATTACAAATGTGAAGAATGTGGCAAATCTTTTAGGTGCTTCTCATACCTTATTACACATAAGAGAATCCATACTGGAGACAAACCCTACAAATGTGAAGAATGTGGCAAATCTTTTAGGTGGCACTCCAGCCTTAACACACATAAGAAGATTCATACTGGAGACAAACCCTACCAAATGTGAGGAATGTGGCAAAGCTTTTAACCAATCCTCAACGCTCTCTAGGCATAAGAGAATTCATACTGGAGAGAAACCCTACAAATGTGAGGAATGTGGATAAGCTTTTGACGAATCTTGAAAAGTTACTCCACATAAGATAATTTGTACTGGGGAGAAAATTTACAGGTGTGAAGAATATGGCATAGCCTTTATCCAGTCCTGAAATCTTGCTAGACCTAAGGTAATTCATTATGAAGAGAAAACCTCAAAGTGTGTAGAATGTGGCAAAGCCTTTAACTAGTCCTCAATTCTTAACAGACATTTTATGATTCATACTGGAGATAAACTCTAGAAACCTGAAAGTTCTCACAGTGCTTATGACAACACTTCAAACATTTCTAAACATCAAAGAAGTTGTGCTGGTGAGAAGTCATAGAAAAGTAAATAATGTGAGAAAGCCTTTAAATGATTATCATGATTGTAGGTAAGGTAATTCATACTGGAGAAAACTTCTACAAGTATAAACAATGTCACAAACCTTTTAAATAATGCTCACACCTTATTGCACAGGAAAACATTTGAGAACAAATGTCCAAATTAATGAAAGTAAAAAAGTGGTAAATATATGCCCACGATCTTACTGTACATGAAAGAGCTTATACTTAATAAAAGCATTAAAAATGGAAGTCTCTCAAAAGATTCTTCAGAAAATATAAACCTTTAAGGTGCTGGGGAGCATTTATTTCAAAGGCAAACATTACGAATATAAAGAGAGTTGTAGTAACTTTACTTGTAACAGACCTTGTTGTGCTTATTATGTGTTAGAGGCAAACCCTGAAGCAATTGCTCAAACTTTGTTCGGCATCAGAGAATCCTGCAAATGTAATACATTTGGGAAAGAAAGATATTAATAGCTGCAGAAACTCCAGAGTGTTCATACGAAAAAATATTTTTTTGCAGACAGAGTAAATGGGAAAACAATATTTAAGGCACTAACACTTCAGACTTTTCACTAAAGCAGTGCTCTATGTCTACAATATAATCTAAAACTAAAGTTGGTAGAAAAGTTATTTGTATGCAACTTTAAAACAGTAGGAATTTTTTTTTGTAGAGTTATAATTACAAGCAATTATAATTATAGACTTATAATTACTTTGTTTTGGCAAGACTACAGCTTTTTTTAAAGTAAATAATGTTGTAACTAACTCTCTACTTCATACTAGTAATGTTGTAATTAACTCTTAAATTACTTCATGCTAAAACAATGATTATTTTTTAGTTTTTTGCAACTCTGTCACCCAGGCTGTGGTGCAGTGGTGTGACCTCGGCTCACTACAACCTCCAACTCCCGGGTTTAAGTGATTCTACTGCCTCAGCTTCCCAAGTAGCTGGGAGTACAGGCACATAACACCACACACAGCTATGCTTTATATTTTTAGTAGGGATGGAGTGTTGGCATGTTGGCCAGGATGTTCTCAAATTCGTGACCTCAAGTGATCCACCAGCTCAGCCTTTCAACATGCTGGGATTACAGGTGTTAGTCACTATGCCAGGCCCATCCTGTTTCTGTATTCCTATTTATACATAAAAACATGTGACCAATTGTTGTTATATGAAAGATATGAGAAATTGTTTTTATTAGGTGAGAATTTATGACATCTTTTATGAAAGAGGATATTAAAATGTAAGATGCATGATGAAAATCTAAGTAAAAAAATTTTTTGTGGTTAACTTACAATATTGAGTGATGTATGAGGTAAGTGTTAAGAGTAGTATTCTTGTGCATTGCATAAAGAGACAAATATTTTTAGTTTTAGTTAAAATTAATTTGGCTAGGTACTGTGGCTCACATTGGTAATTGCAGTGCTTTGAAAGGCTGATGTGGGGGAGTCTGGAGTTTGAGAGCAGCCTGGCCAATATGGTGAAACTCTGTCTCTACTAAAAACACAAAAATTAGCAAGGCATGTTGGTGCATACCTGTAGTCCCAACTACTTGGGAGGCTGAGGAAGAAGAATTGCTGGAACCCAGGAAGTGGAGGTTGCAGTGAGCCCGGATTGTGCCACTGCACTCCAGACTGGGTGACAGAGTGAGACTGCATTTCAAAAATTATTAAAATCAATTGGTAGTACATGATTTTACTAATTGTACTTTCATGAAACACAATGTAGCACATTAAAAAAATTTTAGATTATTTATGAATTCTTCAACATTTCACATGTTAAATATTGTGCATTAAATTAAGTCTTGATATTCCACTTACTTTAACCTCGTTCCCTTTTCTCAAGTGTGTTGGTATAAGATGGTAAGATGATGGAATAACATCTCTAATGTTTTTTGCCAATGGCTTAAAACTTCCAATAAGTTAAGAATATTGTTTCCACAGGTAACAGTTTTTCCTCTTTTCTTTTACCTTTAAATTTATTTCTGTTAATTTTTGTGGGTATGTAATATTTATGTTATATATACATATTCTGATAGAGGTATACAACATATAATAATCACATTTGGTTAAGTGAGATACTCGTCACCTCTAGAACTTATTATTTGCATTGCAGCCAATTTACTTCTATGGTTTACTTCTACAGAATCATTTTTGGAATAGGAAAAATTATATACAATTATAAATAAAATTTACACCTATCTGAGTCCTGAATAAATACCTTTCAAAATGTATTATATATTTTTCTTTGAATACATGGCCTCTATGCTTGCAAACACACTGACTTTTAGTTTTCATTTGCATAGAGTTAAACATACACATTTATTCTAAGTATAAACTGTAGGTGTAAACAAATTGTAAATTAATTGTGTTTGAGAATTAGTTTATAAGTATTTTCAGAATCAGATATCAATATTGAAAGAAAACAAATAATTTTAATAAGGTGTCTAATTTTCTGTTTCTTTCTTTTTTATTTTATTTTTTTTTTGAAACAGAGTGTTGCCCTGTTGCCCAGGCTGGAGTGCAGTGGCATGATGTCAGCTAACTACAACTTCCACCTCCCAGATTCAAACAATTTTCCATTCTTAGGCTCTCCAGAAACTACAGGTGTAGGCCACCACACCTGTATTTTTTGTACAGATGGTGTTTCACCATATTGATCAGGCTAGTCTTGAACTCCTGACCTCAAGTGAGTCCACCCACCTTTGCCTACCAAAGTGCTGGGATTACAGGTGTGAGTCACCATACCCAGCCAGATATCTGATTTTTTAGAATACAAAAATACACAAAAATGCTGAATGCAAATCTTTATTTTTTTCTTTCTTTCTTTTTTTAAATATACAATTCAGTCCCCATAGAGACTGCGAGAAATTGCCAGTGCTGGCTAAATTTCACCTCCTCCCAGTGGGGTATTGGGGAAAGTTTTCAATTCCATTAATCGTGCCTTGGATAAACCTCATTGACTATGATAGTGCTACAGCACAAAGCTGCAAATCTATACTTTCTAGTGTGCATTGAATTTATTACTGTAATATATTATGGCTTATGGTTCAGAATCTTCTCAGACAAATTATCTGTTTTTACTTGCCTGATACTTATGTTAGACCCATGAGTTTCTTGTTTATTATATATATATTTTTTTGCAGTTTACAAAGTACTAAGTTTGTGAGCTGCTCTGTGATTATAAAAATGATTTTAGTGAAATTTAGTCATAGGCCAGACACAGTGGCTCATACCTGTAATCCCAGCACTTTGGGAGGCCAAGGTAGACAAAGTATGTCTATCTTGGTCAGAATTTTGAGATCAGCCTGGCCAAAATGGTGAAACCCCATCTCTACTGAAAATATAGAAATTAGTGGGGCGTGGTGGTACATAACTGTAATTTCAGCTATTCAGTAGGGTGAGGTTGGAGAATAGCTTTAACCCAGGAGATGGAGTTTGCAGTGAGCCAAAATTGCACCACTGCCATCTAGGCTGGGTGACAGAAAAAGATTCTTTAAGAAAGAAAAAGAAAAAAAATTAGTTATACACACAAAATAATTTTAGCTGTAATTCCAAAATTAGTGTATTGAATTTTATTTAGTTGGAACATTCAATTTTGTTCTTTTATTTGGAGAACCCTATATAAGCCTACTTCTCATAAGTTATTATTTTTTTCACTTTGTATAATAGACATGAGTAAATGTATTTATTGATTGGGTCAATTTGTTTAGGTAAGCACTAAGGGAGCTTCAGAAGCCATGAGAATGTTTTTACAATAAATGTGGCAGTGCTTGCTGTGTAGCTGATTCTCCATAATAAGGCATAAATTTGTCTGGTTTAATTTAGTTTGTAACTTCACGTTTGAGGTAGAAAATATCAAAGGTAAACAAACAAGATTTGATTCTTCATGTGGAGAGGACATTTTTTCCATGCTGCAAAGCTGAATTTTGCTGAATTTAAAAAGAAATTCAGCTGTATTTATTTCCTAATCATCTTAAGTTTCATTTGTCATTTTATGTGTATTCCTGCCATGGATACATCATAGCTCTTCTTCCTTTCCTGTGTTAATGGCTACAATTTTTCCACTGTTTTCTTCACGCTATGTCATTTCACATGGCATTTTGAGGGTTTTGATGAGAACTTTGGTGTTTTCTAATGCCCTGAAGAACTGGTTTCAAGTGGAGAGTGTGCTTATAAATATAACTTTCAGATCATTTAAGATAAGAGCATACACTGTCCACAGGTGAGAGGGGTAAATCAGTTAGCATGGTGCTTTATTGCTTGTGTAGAAAAAGGCTCACTAGATTCTTACCCAAAGTGAGACAAATAGAAAGTTTGCTAGAAAATATATTATAGAAATTAAAGTTTTAAGAGAGTTTATGGTAAGTGAACCATAATAAATTGTTATTTTTTTTTCTTAGATGAAGTTTTGCTCTGTCACCTGGGCTGGAGTGCAAGTGGCACAACCTGGGATCTGTGCGACATACTTTACCCAGGTTCCAGGGATTCTTTCACATAAGTCTCCTGAGTAGTTGGAATTACAGGCACCCTACATCATGCCTGGCTACTTTTTACTTTTTTTTTTTTAATAGAAATGGAATTTCACCCTGTTGGCAAGGTTGATTTTGAACTCCTGACCTTAGGTTATCCTCCTGCCTCGACCTTCCAAAGTGCTGGGATTATAGGTGTGAGCCTCCTCGTCTTGTTTAAATTTAATTTCTTATGGTATAGCACAACTTGCATTTTCAGGCAGAATCTTATGTTTTTACATGTAAATGTTAAAGGTTGCAAAACAATAAAATGACCTCTATGTATTTGGAATAATATTTCCTTTTTCATATTGATATTTCAATGTTGAGGAATTTCTCTTGTTTTACAAATTATATTCTAGTGGATGAAAGTTAGTCTACAGTTTTATTCTTAGACACCTAAGTGTAACCCCAATTATTTTCTCTGGAAAACTTTTGAAAATCATGGCAGCTTTCAGATTAAAATGTTTTTTGTTATTGTTCATGTAAATTAGTTTACTGTGTTTACAGAGTGGTCAGTCATGGGACCGTAAGTAACACTTGACTTTTTAGTGTCTTACTTTCCATTACCATTAGCACCAGAAACCCCAGGTGCTCCAAGCTTCAAATAAAGGACTAAAGTACATTGGCTCCTCCGATGCACTGTGTTGGGTTTGAAACTTGCTGTCAAGCATCAAAGTTTTAATGGTTATGACTGATAAGTGACAGAAACAGCACAAACATTATTTTTATACTCTTCAGCCGAGTTTATGATAAAGACTTAGACATGATTTTAAATATTGTCATCTTTTTATAAGGTTTTAAGAGTATATTCTCTAACTTGAAAAAAATGTGTGTATATATATATTTTTGTAATAAAATGACATTTTGAAGTGTATACACATGGTCAAATGCTTAGCTCTGGGTCCAGCTAATTGTTGTAATTTTAGTAGAGATGGGGTTTCACCATGTCGGCCAGAATGGTGTTGATCTCTTGACCCTGTGATCTGCCCACCTCTGCCTCCCAATGTGCTGGGATTACAGATGGGAGCTACCGTGCCTGGCCTGTTTTTAAGAATTTTTATCATGTCACTGATATTTTTATTGAGGTTGCATTATATCTGTAGATCATTTTGTGTAATACAAATATTTAATAATAATGGCAGTTCAGTTAAATGTATTTCAAAGTATAGTTGCTACAGTTATGGTAGATGAAATTGTTTTTTAAATTTATTTTGAGATAGTCGTTAGCTTATAAAAATGCTACTCAGAGGCCTGGAGTGGTGACTCAACTCTGTAATTCCAGCACTTTAGGAGGCCAAGATGGGCAGATCATGATGTCACGAATTCAAGAACAGCCTGGCCAATATGGTGAAAGCCTGTCTCTAGTAAAAATACAAAAATTAGCCCAGCGTGATGGTGCATGCCTTTAATCCCAGCTACTTTGGAGGCTGAGGCAGGAGAATTGCTTGAACCTAAAAGACAGGTGGCAGTGAGCTGAGATCATGCCACTGCACTCCAGCCTGTGTGACAGAGCTAGACTTTATCTCAAAAAATAATAATAACAATATTTATAATAAGTAGTTCTAAGAAAACTGGTTAGTCTTATTGCAGAAAAGAGTGGACTTTTTATCTTTCCATATAGAAAATATAAGGCAAGATAGCTTATTGACTTATCTGTGAGTCTTCAAGTTACAAATTTCTATGAGAACACTTAGTACTCTTCTAAACACTGGCCTCTGGGATGAATTTCTGAATAACATGTTAAAACTGAGTGGAAAAGAATAAAAATCAAAACTGCATCTAATTAAACTAAAGAGCTTCTGCACAGCCAAAGAAACTATCCACAAAGGAAACAGACAGTCTGTAAAGTATTTTCAAAATTCATACAAGTGATTAATATATAGAATCGATGCAAAAGTTAATTTTTAAAATCAGAAAAATGATATAGATACTTCTCAAAAACATAGTTGCCAATAAATATTGAAGAAATGCTTAACATCAAATCATTAGAGAGATGTAAATCAAAATGACAAAGCATTACCATTTTACACCAGGTAGAATGGCTGTTGTTATAAGTCACAAAATAACATGTTGACATTGTGGAGAAATAGGTTTCGTTATAAATGTTGATGGGAATGCAATAAAATTTAGCCCCCGTGGAAAGAAGTTTGGGGATTTCTCAAAGAACTGAAACTAGAGTTGTCATGTAACTCGTCAGCCTCATCACTGCCAAAGGAGAATAAATTATTTTGCCAGGAAGACACCTGCACTCAGATGTTTATTGTAGCAAAATTCACAATAGCAAAAGATGGAATTAAACAGCGTGCTTAGAAATCTTATGTTGGATAAGGAAAGTGAGGCACTTCTACAGCATGCAATACTGTGCAGCCACAGAAAGAATGAAGTCGCGTCGTTTGCACAACATGAGTGGAGCAGAAGGTCATTGCTGTAAGCAAATTAACAGATCAGTGAAACAAACAGCACATGTTTTAACTTATGTGTGGTAGGTATAAATTGGGTACAGATGGAAACAAAGATCAAAATAAACAAAAAACTAAATGTCTAAACATGGAGGAACAAAGGGAGACAAGAATTGAAAAACTACTTTCAGGTGTGATGTACATTATTACTCTTTGGTGAAAAGTGGCAGGGGATTTCATCACATTTTCTTAAGAATAAACCATTTTTGAAAATATCAGGCTGTGAAAATTATGTCAAATTATTGAGTTAAAACTTTTTTTTTTTTTTAAAGCATAGTTTTATGACCGTAGCCCAAGAATGATGAAACAAAGAGTGGGTTAAGCTCACACTGCTGCAGTCATTCCATCACAGTCATTCTCATCAATAAATAATAACAGATCAAAAGGAATTTTTAGAATAATTTTTTTATTCTATCAACGTGTTAAATTTTTATTTGCTTCATTTTTTTTTCTTTTTTGAGATAGAGTTTCACTCTTGTCACCCAGGCTGGAGTGCAATGGCATAATCTGGGCTCATTGCAACCTCTGCCTCCTGGGTTGGCCTCAAACTCCTGACTTCAAGTTATTTGCATGCCTCTGCCTCCAAAGTGTTGGGATCATAGTTGTAAGCCACCCTGCCTGGGACAAAATTCTTATATTAAAAACATCTCCAGCAATTTAATAGGCCTGAGATTTGGAAAAAGAAAAAGTTGTTGACTCATCATTTATTAATATGAGGTTAAACTAAAAAATTATAAATATATTGTACAGAAAATTAGATAAAATTAGTTAAATTTCTGCAAAAAATCTGATTAAAACAGGACTTCTGGATATTTAGAAACAACTGGCAGAGCACAATGGCTCACTCCTGTAATCTCAGCACTTTGGGCAGCTGAGATGGGTGGACCATGAGGTCAAGAGTTTGAGACTAGTGTGGCTTTTATGGTGAAACCCCATCTCTTCTAGATATAGGAAAATTAGCCAGTCATGGTGGCAAGCGCCTGTAGTCCCTGTTACTCAGGAGGGTGAGGCAGGAGAATCACTTAAACCTGGGAGGCAGAGGTTATAGTGAGCGGAGATAATGCCACTGCACTCCAGCCTGGTGACAGCGAGACTCCATCTCAAAACAAACAGAAAACTCACTAAATTACTGATTTAAAATATTTATTTTTAACAAGGTTTTGATCTTATATATTTAAAAACTAAGTGAAACCTGTTACTAATAGATTTGACTTTTTAAATGTTTGTGAATGTCACTGTATTAAAAATCATTTAAGTCTACTTTCTAAATAATTTTGATTAAAATATCTGTGATTTAATTGAATGCCAGTATTTATATGGTGTGCCAAACCACCCATTTCTTTACTGTTCTACGATTTTATAAAATAAGCCTAAGTTTCTGAAGACTTTTTTAAAGAAATCGATCTTTTTCTACAAAAAGATGTAGACATCAAAAATAGAGATGTTAGTGTCATATGCATAATTTGCTGAACTCTACAGTAATTTGTGACGTTCTTCTGTGTATAGCAGTGTTAGATTTTCTAAAACAAAATGAAGGATTTTTAAAATGTTACATTTAATAAAGTCCAAAATATGTTCAGAGAGACAAAAGCCGTGGCTGCCACATTAGAGAAGAAATGTTTCCGCACAGCACACTGTTCTGTGTATGCACAGATGGAAAACCAGACTTTGAGTTTAGCTTAAATCATACACAGCGTTAGTTGTGAGTCTTGAGCCTTAAACATGTATAATAAATATATACAGTTTACTCTTTTCAATTTAAAATATTTTGTACTTCAACACTTCAAGTAATGTAAGACTATCATAAATTTCATAAGCCATGCAAGTGTCAACTGCATTTTCAAATTATAAAAAGGTTTTAAAAGTAAACTTAACCATGACAGTTTAGTTAAAAAAAAAAATTGTATTTGTTAATGTGGTTGTAGCTTGCTCAGTTGTGACCGTGATGGTATTTACTGTCATGGGGATGGTGGAATCGGGTGGACCAGAATCGTCAGCACCTTGCTGTGTCACTGCTGTGCTTTCTGTGGCTAAGATTCATTTCCCAGACTTTTTTGTCGACTCTGTTTCCATCATGCTGTGAACCGTTTCTCAGTGCTTTAGCATCTGCCTTTGGTTTCTGCTAATTTTCTTAGACTTTCATTTCTCTTGTTCATCTCTGGTGGTTGCTTTGCTGCTCAACTTTGAGAAGTTCAGGCAGCTTCACCCTTAGCCACTCCAACAGTCCATCCATTTGGCTGAAGCTCTGGGGCAGTTTCTCTTGGTTCTTCTGTTTCTGGTGTCAGAAATTTGTCAGCAGGGCTGAATTTTCAGGAACCATGGCTACTGCCTCCTGCCCCCCTGCAGGGTGTCTCCTGTACTTGTTACTTGTGCTGGTTTCAGCCGCTGCCCAGTCTAGCACAGAATGAAACAGCAGCAGCTGGAGCACCCATGCCCGGTGTCGCACAGCCTGGGGATGGCTTAGTGGCAACCCTGGGTCGAGTCCCAGCTCCAAGCACAGAAAGTGGACGTTAACCAAAGCATTTCCTGGGAGAGATGTCTCAGACTGGGAGGCCAGTTTATTCTACCAGCTTCCTGCTGCCACCTCCCCTTCCATCAAAAGGACACTCAGGAAGGCGCAGGGACACAGACACTGTGAGGAGTCCAGGGAAGTGATAAAGGTCTCGGCCAGAGAGCTTCAGACCCAGCACAGGATATTGTCCCTCATGCCTGAGCAGAGATCAGCCACTGCCACTGAGGGGACTACAGAGACCCAGGCTCCCCAGCCAGCCTCCATCTGCACCAGAAGAGGAGAAAACTATTTCCAAAAATCAAGTTTTTATTCTTTTCTCTGTTTTCCTTTTTTCAATGTCTTTTTCTCTCAAGTTATGCTCACCTGATGGAAGATTTTATGTTTCATCTTCACATGAACATTTAAATGTAGTTATACTGGTCACAAATTAAGACTATAAATTGTACTTTACTTTGCCTAAGAATCCTGGGGTAACATTAAACTTTCAATAGTGCTTTCTGAATCTTAACGGTTATTACCTTTTATTTGATTCTATTAACTAAATTGAAGTAAGTAATAATAAATTTTTAATTTGCATAGCTTGACAGTTTACAAAGAACATGTATTCATTCATTGAACTGATAAGTGTGTGTTGAGCATCCACGTGGTGCCATACTTTTTGCTAGCCTTGGGAGAAAAAATACAAAAAAGTATTGGCCAGGCGCGGTGTTGCATGCACTTTTGGAGGCTGAGGTGGGCGGATTACGTCCGGGTTCAGGAATTCAAGACCAGCCTGGCCAAATAGTGAAACCCCGTCTCTACTAAAAATACAGAAATTTGCCAGCCGTGGTGGCACACGCCTGTAGTCCCAGCTACTTGGTAGGCTGAGGAAGGAGTATCACTTGAACCCAGGAGGCAGAGGTTTTGGTCAGATGAGATCATGCCACTGCACTCCAGCCTGGGCAACAGAGCTAGACTCCGTCTCAAAAAGAGAAGAAAAGAAAAGAAGAAAAAACACAAATTGATCTCTCAGGAAACTTTAATTCTGGTTTCATAAACTTGTTACACACTCTGGTAAAGTGCATACCTCTAAAGTCGTCTGTAAGCCTACTACCCTAAAGTGACCACTATCCAAATTTTGTGTTATTATTTTATGCAGTTTTATCTATGACTAATACACATTTTAGTGTTGCCTGGGGTTTTTGCCTGTATGTATATGGTAGCATAAGTTTTCATCTGTGCTTTGCATTTTTATTTATGTATATTTTTTCCTCATTTTCCATGTTGCTTTGCATAGCTATAGTAATTTAATGCACCTTTAGAAGTAGTATTGTATGCAGCTTTCCTGAGTTAGACCAACATCTTTAATGGTTAGAAGAGCAGGCTCAGAGTATGTGTGTAACTTTGGACAAGTTTCTTAACCTCTCTGATTCATCTGTTACTTAGAGATATAACATGGCAGTGAAATTCTTGCTTTTCTTTGATTGTAGTAATATAGGTAAAGTTATATTAAGAAAAATAAGAACATTATAAAAGGCAAAAAAGAATACATATAGATACATTAAAGACTTAAACATATAATATTTTTATAAATTTTATTTAATTTGAAAATTTAGATAAAACTACCCTTTTTTTTTCCAGAAAAGTAAGTGACAAAAACTGACTGAGGAAAAATTAAAAAGAAAGATAGAAAAATATTTAAAAGTTTTTAATTTTACACTTATAAAGCACACATATTGTAAAAGAACAGCTTGATAAATTTTTACAAAACGTATATACTGTGAACCCTGCACTCAGTGATAGAAGAGTATAAACCACGTGGGACCACTTCTTGCTTGATTCTTTTTTTTAACCACTGTTACCGTGAGAGAAACTTACATCCTGGCTGTTTAGAAAATAAATAATGTTTGCCTGTTTTTGAATTTTAAATAGATTAACACAGTAAGTTCACACTTTTGGCCAGGTTCTTTTGTTTAACCTTGTGATATTAATCTCTGTTGCTTGGAGTGGTTTGTATATTCATTTGTCTACAATGTGACATCATATGAATACATTAAAACATTTATTCAACTGTTCATAAACATTTTGGTAATTTTTCCCAGTTTTTCAGTACTTCTATAGACTTGTGCATTTTTAAGGAAAAATTAGTGCAATTATATAGATATTTAAACACAAATATAATGAAAATATGTTTCTATCTTCAGCTTGTGTAGGCATTGGCAAGCCCTCTTCCAGAAGGTAATACCAACTTATGTGACCAGCACTGTATGAGGGATTATTTATTACCTAATTGTCTTTATTTTTCAAACTCTACAGTGTAAACTTTGTGGTCAGAGGCCTTTAATTTTATTAACCAATTTATTTTTAATTGCATTTTTTGCAATTTTTAATGAAGGAAATATATTCACCCGTCTATTTTTAATTGTAATTTTGCAGTTTTTAATTAAGGAAATAAATTTGCTTTGAACTTGAAGCATTTATTTGTTTAAAAATAACTACGGTACAATTGATTTATTTATTCTTCTCTGAGCATTTTTTACCCACAGCTCTGTTTCTTTACAGGTAACATTTATCTGCCAAAAATGCTTTTCTTATTTTGAGCATTCTCAGTAAGGGTTATTTCACCCCAGGAGATACTGTAAACAAGCAGGTGCAATGTCTGCATGGTTTGGAAGAAGATAGGCCTTGGCTGACCAGGTCAGCTCTAAGCAATTGTAAATAACTACCTTCTAAATATGTATGATTTATGCTTTTATTTATGTATCATAAACATTTATTAAGCTGTAGTATTTACAATATGATTTCTATTCTGAGACCTACAAATCTATCTACATTACACTAATGACACTATTTTAGTCAACAGGACAAATATATATATATATATCTTTGAAAAAAAAAAAAACCTGATACATTTGCATCTGTATAAGATACCATACAATCAATTTCTCAAAGTTCAAGGAACTAAAAGGAATGCATGTACACACACACACATGCACACACGCACACATGCAAAACATTCTATTACAAGATTCAACATTTCTTCTTTTGCTAAGTCTGGTTATGAGAATCATCACTGTGCCTGTGAGCTGGGTCCAGTAATAAAACATCCCACCTGTGGTAAGATCCACATATAACAGTCACTATAGAAACTGAGCTATATCTGCAAGTGAGAGTCAAACCCTCAGCAGTGGGCTTTCTCCGTGTGTGAGGATGTTAATCCTGTCAGCTGGGTTTACATAGAAGAATCACAATCTCATCTTTGTTTCGGGTTCTGTTATGAAAATATCTGTGAAACATAAGGGTTTTATATTATATGCATGAGTGTGGTAAACTACTCAGAACTTTCTACAAGCAGAAGACTTGGGACCTTACCCAATGCCCTAAGCCCAGCTGCAAGAATCAACACCTTATCTATTGGCTAAATCAAAGTATGACAGTCATTATTGCACCAGTGAGCTTGGCAAGAAATAAGTCATCATCTCACATGTTGCTGAATTTACATATGACAGTCACAACACTAACTGTGGATGATGTCCATATGTGAGATTCAGGACCTCACCAGTGGATTCTGTCCACTGTAAGAGTGACAGTTTTAATTGTTGGCTGGGTGTGTGCCTATGGGATGCCAAACTCACCTGTGTGTTGGGTCCCTTTGGGACACTCTCTGTGTCACCCAAGGATGTTATAGGATATGCATGAGTGTCATCACCTTCTGTGACATTACCACAAGCAGGAAACAGGACCTTGCCTATTCCCCCAATTCTAGCCATGAGAGTAAAAATCTTTTCTATCAGTTGGGTCTACATATGAGAGTGATCATCATTCCGTGAGCTAGGCCTAGGTATGTTACAATTCCACCTATGGAAAGACAGCAGGCAGGAGAGTCACATTGATTGAATGTTGGTCGAGGAGTATTTGAATAAACCTGTGTTCAGGGCCCTGGCAAGAAAGTCACATTACTTGAATGCTGAACTCAGCAATATGTCATAATGCCTCTTGTGGGCAAGGCCCAGCCTAGAAATCCACATCACCCCTTATCCTGTGCAAAGCAATATTTTGGGGCTCAGCAAGGGGTGAAAAATCACAACGTGTCAGAACGATCCAAGATGGCCGATCACTAACATCCCGGGATTGCAGCTCTCAGGGAAGGCGTGGAGAACTAGAGGACACCACACTTTCAGACAAAGTCTGGTCGCTCACGGAGCAGAAGATCCCCCAGTGGTGGAAATACACGAGTCGCCAGCGCGACTCTCGTGGTCGGCGCAGCGGTTCCGCCGGCACCTCGACGCGGCAGCGCTCGATGCAGAGTAAACAGGACCGGTTCCCCTTCTGACCGAGGTTTGGAACCCCGGGAAGGCAGAGTCTCCTACTAGGGAAACAAGAAGGACACCCGACAGGAGAATCCTGGGCAGAAAAGCACCATCAGTTTTAACGCCGCTGCTCTTGCCCTGGGAACTAACAACCTGGACGTCCACTCAAGAGACCTAATCTGAAAGTTGGTAATTTCAAAGACGACAGGAGGATAAATTTACAATGACGGGAAGAAACCAGCGTAAAAAAGCTGAGAATACTCAAAGTCAGAACGCCTCTCCCTCTAGAGATGATCACAGTTCCACATCAACAATGGAACAAAGCTTGATGGAGAACGAGCACCTCCTGATGACAGAATCACTCTTCAAGGAATGGATAACAAACTTCGGTGAGTTAAAAGACCATGTTGTAGCCCAACGTAAAGAAACTAGGAACTTTGAAAAAAGGTTTGATGAAATCCTATTGAGAATAGACAACTTAGAGAGGAGTATGAGTGAATTAATGGAACTGAAGAATACAATACAGGAACTCCGAGAAGTATGCACAGGTCTAAACACTCGAATTGTTCAAGCAGAATAAGGGATATCAGAGGTCAAAGTCCAACTTAATGAAATAAAACGTGAAGAAAAGATTAGAGAAAAAAGGATAAAAAGGAATGAGCAAAGTCTCCAAGAAATGTGGGACTATGTGAAAAGACCAAATTTACGTTTGATAGGTGTACCTGAATGCGACGGAGAGAATGAATCCAAGCTGGAAATTACCCTTCAGGATATTATTCAGGAAAATTTTCCTAAACTAGCAAAGCAGGTCAACATTCAACCCCAGGAAATACAGAGAACACCACAAAGATATTCCTCAAGAAGAGCAACCCCAAGGCACATAATCGTTAGATTCACCAGGGTTGAAACGAAGGAGAGGATACTAAGGGCAGCCAGAGAGAAAGGTCCGATTACCCACAAAGGCAAGCCTATCAGACTTACAGCAGATCTCTCGGCAGAAACTCTACAAGCCAGAAGAGAGTGGGGGCCAATATTCAACATCCTCAAAGAACAGAACCTTCAGCCCAGAATTTCATATCCAGCCAAACTAAGCTTCACAACTGAAGGAAAAATAAAATCTTTTATGAACAAGCAAGAACTCAGAGATTTTATTACCACCAGGCCTGCTTTACAAGAGCTTCTGAAAGAAGCATTACACACAGAAAGAAACAAC